TTAACTCAAAAACTTAGGCACGTGAGCATAAATAAATTCAGGATGATTAATTACTGAATTATCTGATGGATTTTTTTTGTTGGGGGGGTCTCTTTATGGCTGTTTGTTCACGTCGCCGCCGCCAGAGCTTCCAAATATTTTATAATAAAAGCCTGTTTAGAATAGTTTTAAAAATTATTTCTAACCATATTTTATATAAATCAAAACAAAACTCTTCTCACGTACTTACTTTATATTATATAAATCACAATTAAAAAATTATTTATAAGCTATTTTAAACAGCTATAAAGTTGTTAATCTTTTATTAGCAAGTGCTATTTTAGAGGTAACAATTTTAGTATAGAAGATTGACGGTTTTGATGTAGAAAATTTACAATTATTACATTTGATTCTTAATATAAGACATAATTAATTAATTTGAAAAAATTAAAAAAATTAGTTAGGTTAGTTATTTATAATAAATATATGTTTTCTTTCCTGAAATACTCTTGTTTACTATGTATATTGGCTAAAACTACTATTTGATGAAACATTTAATATGTGCCACTACGACAAGGATTATTTTGAAAAAAATAAATAAATATAAAAGATGAAGTGGATTGGGGTATTATCTCCTGTCCTTAATATAAGAACTAGTTTGAATTTTATTTTGATCTTAAATATAAGATCTCAATTCACTTTCTTTTTCATATTTATTTACTTTTTTAAGGTAATCTTTGTAGTAATGGTAGTTGTAACTAATAACTTTAATTAGTAAAGATATTTTAGGAAAGACAACACTTAATTATTACAAATAACTAACTTAATTAATTTTCTCAATCTACTTAAATTAGTCAATTAGCTCGTATATTAAAGATCGTAGGTAATATTTAAGACTAAATTGAAAATTAAACTAACTCTTATATAAAACATAACAGGTAGTAATATTTTGCAATTGACAGCATTAAGTTCTTTGTAGTTTAGGGATGTGGTGGTCATATCACATTTTGGAGACAACATTAAGGAATGTTTGGATAAAACCTAAATCATAATTTTAAAAGTAATTTTATAGTATACAAAATAAATATGTGATAGAAATTATCCTGATTTGCGTGAAGGCATTTCAAAAGTGCTTATAGAGGCTGTCAAACGCCTCCAAATTCTTTGTAGTTTGGTGATCTGGTGGACATATCACACTTTGGATCCAGGAAGCTGTGTGCTCAAATCTTACCATTATAACCGTTATTAATCCTATGTTTGGTGTTGAGTGTAGAGAAAGAAATTTTTTTAATAAATTTGATTTAAAAAATTAGAAAATTAAGGTTATACAATTTTAACAAAAAAAATAAGATAAAAAAGTTTAAAAAAATTAAAATATTCTCTTCCTTCCTCTCTATTTTTCGCATATCAAAATGAAGCTAAATAATAATTTCTCCTAAGAGCTCCGAATTGACAACAATCATGGGGGAGATTTTTTTTTCCCCCAAAATCCAAGGCAATTTGATATTTGTCATTTTAAACTTATTTGAACACAACTCACCCGAATCCTCAGAGAATTCAAAGCCATTGATTGATTTAATTCATTTGATAGGACTTATCGTATTTTTAATTGTTACGTGGAATTAAGTGTAATTCTTGCTAGAAAGATTGTTAGGGTATTTAAGTGTGAGTAGATTTTAGTTGATGTAGAGTCAACTATCAAGTACACCACTAAAATCTCATAATACATGACTCATTTAAAAATATTATAGAATTTAGATATATTCAATTAATAAAATTTGAATAATATCTTGATTAAAATTTGAATCTATTAGAATTTCAAATCTAATCAAATATACTAATACTAATCATTATATAGTTTGGGAAAGAAATTTCTAGGTATGCTTAATAAGTGGTACTGTTCTGATCCTAAATATAAAACTAACTATATTATAAAATAGATACTATACTACAGAAAGTAATGCATAATGAAGTGAAATGACTCCACTTAGACTCTGGTTTTGAAGTTTTTAGTTGAGGCGTGTTAGTTTGCTTGAGCTTTTATTCTCTAGCTCATTTTGAGAAGGTGGTTCTCATGTCCAGGAAATAAAAACCAATAATTTAGATTATTATAGCTTTTCTTAGATTATTCGAGGAACGCAGGGGAGATATCGATAGTCCCAAACTGATTGGCGAGATCCCTCACATTAAATTTATTCAATCTAAATCATTAAATTTAATCTAATAATTCACAGTTGTAGTGATCTCCCATTTAAAAGTGACTTCTGTCTAGGACACACCCTAAAAATAATAAAGCACAAAACGGCATTATATATAATTGTAGCATATATAATGGCTTGCCTTGTTGTTGGCCCAACCAAAAAAAAAAACTGTTGAATTTTAAAATTCTAAACCAGTATTAATTACTACACTTATAAAACTATACTTGAAAAGCAAATAAAAACACGTTTTTATAGTAATTGTTGATTTAAAATTTTGAAATCGAACAGTTCTTTTTTAAAATTTTTCCAAAAATATGATGGCTTGCCTTGTCTATGCCTCTCGCTGTCTACATTCAATGAATTAGGGGTCTGGTGAATTAAACTACTTTTCTTTTTGCCAACATGAATTAAAATAATTAAAACAAACAATACCATAAAAGTTTCTAAATAGAATGAGTGCCTGACCTGGGCCCGGGATGCAATTTGGAGGGCCACCAAAAACTTTAATTATATATGTCCAAGATGCTATCTGCCCCGGGTATGCGTGCGGCGGTGCGGGGCGGCATTATTCCCTGAGTCCGACGTGGCACAACCCTTCTTTAATTTTTTATATTTTAATTTTGCCCTGATTCGACTTCTCCCGAGTGAGCTTGGCATGGTATGTTGGATAACAAAAGTGATGCTATATTAATATGTGATATCAACCCCGCGGGATTAGGTCAGCTGATTGGGACTGTCCTAGCTTAACCACGGATTTCGGGTTCGAGACGTGGGAACGCAGCACTCCAAGGGGTCAGGGGGCGCCGTCCGAAAGGATCCTTGCAAGCCCCTGAATCTGGACTAGTCTGGGGTCGTTGTCACGACTGAAAGATGCCTATTATCCTGGGATACCGGATGGAGTAATCCAAAAAAAAAAGTGATATCACATGATTTTCCATTATATCATCTCCTATCGTTAATATAAAAAATAGATAATTAATTTAAAAATATTAGAAAAATTAGATAAATTAATTCTTTATGATAAATATATGTTGGTTTCTTTAAACTATTCTTGTATTGGATAGTTGAAATTATGTCTTGGTATGGTAAGAAGCAAAGTGGACAAAGACTTTATATTTCAAACCAGATTTATATCAAGAATCAGATGTAATATTATATATGATTTTATATGAACCTGATAAATTCATTTTACAAAAAATGGTAAGTATGAGATATAAAATGGATTAAAATTTTAGAACAAATTCTTTAATTAACTCTTATATTACTTCCAACTCTAATTATAAGAGTTAGTTAACTAATTTAAGGATATTAAGGAAATAAGTTAAGTTAATTATTTGTAATAAATAAGTATTGTCTTTTTTAAAATATCTTTATATTATATTAGTTAGAACTACTATTATTAGAAGGACTATATTAGAAAAAAAAATACATAAATATAGAAGATAAAATGAATTGAGATATCATATTTAAGATTAAGATAAAAATCATACGAGTTTTTATATAAAATGAAAAGAATATTAGGAACGAGTCACTTTTCATCACATGAGAGGAAGCCTTGTGGAAATTTGGGCGTGCGAGAAGATGAGGAAGAAAATGTCCGGATGAGAAGACAGAAAGTAGCAAGTTGGGTTGGGTTAACTTATTGTCCCATAACGATGCAATTTCTCTTGGATATGTGGACACATGCCACCCATAAAACTGTGGGTGTGAATCTTCGGTATCTTTATTGTTATTATTATTATTAAAATTTCAGCAAAGAAAATACTAATGAGAAGAATTGAGCATGTCTTTATAACAACGTTGAGGAGCGTCAATGAAATATTATCAAGTATTTAAAGGTCTGGTTTGATTTAATTTTGTGTAAAACGATAAGTTCGCACAAAAATTGAAACTCGTTCATTTTTCTGATAGGTTGGTTTGATTTGGCTTTTAGTCTATTTGAATCGATTTGCTTAAGCATAAATCAAGTTTTGGTAAATTTATGTTTGTACTACTTCTGCTCCTAAGTTAGGATATAAATATTGAGCAGAATTATCCAAAAGAGAATATTATTTTTAGGCTTGGTTGGGAGGGCAGCGGGTTTAGTAATTGGGAGCACTTTACTTTAGATATTTTAATAAGAAAATTATTATGAGGCCATAAGAGAAAAATTAATTACATAAAATTTTAATGACAAGTGATGAACTTAAACTTGTTATTAATTATTACTTTATAACTTGTTATTGCATATAAATTTTATGGTACTCCCCGATCTTTAATATATGACTTAATTGTTGAGTTGATTTTGATATTAAATATAAGACATATTTTTTTACATTTATCAATTTTTTTTCTAAATTATTTCTGTGAATACTCTTTCAACCATAATCAAGTGGAAGAGGGAGATGAGATATTAAGGAAGATGATTAAGGCGTTTTAGAAAAAACATGTCACATTTTTTATAATTAACTAACTCACTTAACTTTTTTAATCTAATCAAATTAGATAAATGGATTTTATATTAAAGATTGAAGGAGTATTTTTTTTTTTAGAACATGATTATAATTCTTCCTATTTTAATTAGGACAAAAAAATTGAAATTGTTAGGGGCAGTTCAAGTTCTGCTGAAATGAAAATACAATTTTTTTTGGGCCAATGTGCAGTTTTTTTCATGTAATTTACCATTTTACCAACATTCCAATTAGTGGCCGACAGCTGTCCCGGTTAAAATATACCTTTTCGCTGTTGATTTCTCGTCTACGATTAGTTTAATCCCATATGTCACAGATATTTCTTCTCTCTCCGGGGCGTTGCAAGTTCCGTAGCAATAATAACGCCCTTGAGTCGTCGTTCAATGACCGAATGAAAAGAAAGAATCACACGATTCTCTCCGTCGTTCTCCTTCTCTTCGTCTCCGCGATCGCCGTCGTGCTTCACATCTCGTCGGTACGTAGACGGCGCCGTTTCTCATCCCTAAATCTTCGGGCGATGATTTCGTACTTTGTAAGCTATCGAATTAAGCTTCTTGTTTTCTTGCGTATTTATACAGACAAATGCTGGAGATTGATGATTCGCTGATCCCTACTGGCGATGAAATGCGACGGAGAAACGTTCGGAGTCCTAATTTTTGATTCTTCAAGAGGTACTAATTGTTACATTCTATCTTCTCCTTGTTATTCACACAGTCGTTTATTTTTCTTTTTATTGCTGCGATCGATTTTATCGAACGAAATGTGTGTGTTTTGTCTTTGCAAACTTGTTCTGAAATCCCTGGGGAAATTCCTATGGTGGTAGAAATGCTAGTACTATTCGTTTGTCAGTTTTCCTTTTGATTTTTGTGTCTAAATGGTGCTGTGCCTTTCTTTGAGAACGCAAAACTTCTTGTTTCACCGTAAGGAAAACGTAGTGACCGCCATAAATTATTTGATTTTCTTGCGTTTGAGCTCAGAAGGGTGCAATGTGATAGTGTTGTGATGTTGTCTGTTTAGTGCACACTGTGCAGTGTCTGAGTTTAGAACGCTCGGTTTTCATTTGGATCTCTTGAATCAAACTTTAAATTTAGGTTTTATTTTTCTTTGAGATAAAATACTGCAAGTGTTTGCTTTATCTGTTTTTTTTTTGGGTCTGAAAAGAAGTGTTTGTTTTATCTATTTATATTAATATTTACTTTTTGCAAGCTAGCCGAAACTGATATGATTAGGGTTATTTTCCCCCCCTCCTAGATCAAGATGTAGAATAGGGAGAGAAATATTTTTGTTCTGATCCCTTAAAAACTACACTTTTTTCCCCGATGAACACCAATGAGAATTGAACCTTTGAAGTTACAGACATCAACTTAATTATTGAGCTTGAACCAACTGAACACTCCCAAACCGAAAAAACAAAAAACAAAAACATGCCACTTTTTTGTAAAGTTAAATTTAATTTGTGATGAGTAATGAGTTTGAGTAAGTTTGGGACAAAATTTTCTTTCTTTTTCGTTTTTATCAAAGCTATTTTTTTTGACCAGCTTTTTATCAAAGCTTACCTCAACTTGTTCATAAAGAAATTAAGCTACTCTTCAACTTGGCCACCATCATGCCTTGTTGCACCCCCATCGACCATTGCCACACGAGAGTTGTCCGCTTACTTGCTACTTTTTCCCCCCTCATTATTCAAATAGCACACAAGTTTTGAAATGGTTGATTTCATCACACTATCGGTGATATTGTCTTTTTAATGTTTAAAACAAATTAACTACTGCTTCTCTACTAAATATTATAAATAATTTCTATCCAAAATTTATTCCTAAATTAACCAATTAATATGGTGATTAAAATATCTAATCTAAACAGCAGTTATTAATATCAGGTAAATAAATATTATTTATGTGATCAACATAATGCAGGAATGGTTCGGACATTTAGGTTATTGGTGTCTAATGATGACTGTGATATATATAAATCATTTTAGTTGCATAGGCTCATATGATTATTAAATAGTCATCCTTGGTATATGGAGAAACTTCTCTAGGCTTAGGACATAAGCATAGCCAATAGAACTTGCCACACAAGTTTACTAAATCATGTTTTTCACTAATTGGTCCAAACTCCAAACCTATCATTTGGCACGTATGAAGATGACTCATGAATGAAAAAAATGATGATTAGGAAAGTAATAATATTCGACTTTGATGGTATTTTCTCTTAGGTTTACTTAAAATTGAGAAGAATAAAACAATATATCAGTGTGTCCGATGTGAATTAAAATCCATAAAAAGTCATTTTATTTTCAAAGTATGAAAAGCGTAATTTACCTCTCAAATTCTATGCATATGGAGAAACATGCCAGGATGAGTATAATGAAGGAAAATAAAACTGTAATCTAAGCATATTATCACAGTTGAAAGCAGTATTTTCCCTTTACTATATGGAAAAAAATCAATAAACAAATAGGAAGTTATTAATTTAATCTATTTGACTTGTCAAGAGGATTATAAGTTGAGATATATTTAACTTATACTGGGCTTCATCTGTTGTTGTTTTGTAGTAATTGAAGTTCAAATCAAGGCATATACTTTAGAAAAAATGCACAACTTGTACCTGTTTAAGCTTATAACAAAGGGTACTATCGATATAATTCTACCATGCATACCAGTCAATTAATTAGGTTCAAACTGTTTTAACTGGTACACAAAACATCACAAGAAAAACTAATACGAAAAGCCTTGTTGAGTCGACAATGGGTCCGTTTGGATGAGCGATTGGAAAAGCAGCTTATAGGAGAAGTAGCTTATGGAAAAGTGAAGTTGGTAAAAGCTAAATTGGATAAGTTGAATTGTGTTTGGATTGGAGTTCAGAAAAGCTAATTTGCAGAAGTGAGATTGGTAAAAAGTTGTTTGGATTATAGTTGAGTAAAAGTGAGTTTGGTTATAAAATGATCAAAATGGGTATAAGTGTTAATAAATAATGAAATATGATAAAAAAATGATTTGACATAATACAATGAAATTAAAATAATTTATTATGAAGAAGTCAAATTAATGAGTGAATAAATTTTAAAATTTCAAAAAAAATCATAACAAATATTTTAAATATAATGTGAAACATGAAAAAAATGAATTGATATAATTAAGTGAATTATTGTTAATTTGATATGAATAAGTTAAATTGATAGAGGGAATTAAATTTGAAAATATAAGAGAAATGAAAAAAAAATTGTAAATATAAAACAAAACATAATTTGAATAGAAGAAGGCAAATGAATAAGAGAAAAGTAAAAGGAATAGATTCCTTCTTGTCAGAACGGTCCATAAGCTCCTGGAATATGATCAGAAGCTCCCCCTCTCCAGCTTATTCCAATCGCACGTTGAAGGGGCTGAAAAATTCAGAAGCCTAATTGGTCAAAAGCTCTGCCAAACAGTCCATTTTTCCCACTGAGCTTATAAGTGATTATAAGCCACGTTTGGGCCAGCAAACGCTGACCCAAACAGGCACAATACTGGAGAATTTTTGGCCAAGAAAAAAAACTAGAGAATTTACAACTAAACTAAATAACTAATCAATCAATATGTTGCCTTGGAATTCTCGAAATTATCTCCCAATTACACAAAGGATTGTAGGAACATTCTCTTAAAATGCTCGATGAAGAAGAGTTGCCCCACCTGGGCATCCAATCCCCTTCAGATATTTATGTTTATATATAAAAGCTATTCCTTTTCCGGCAAAGGAAAAAAGAGCTATTGCTTTGGAGATTCACATTTTGAATCATTGCATATAAATTTCTTTTTGGATGCATTGTATAATTGCACATAAATCAATATATGACTCGTTAAACCTTATTATTTTCTATAAATAGGCGCCCTTAAAACTTTGAGTTATTTCTAATTAAATCAGAACAAATAGATTTCAAGTTTGAAAATAAATTAAAAACATTAATAACAAGAATTAGGTTTTTGCCATAAGCATTAATAACGAGAATTAGTTAAGGTGAAATGGGTAAAAAGATCTGGATCAACTTTTTGGAAGCCATCTACCAGACAAGAAAGGTTGCTAATGTTGGAGCACCCACAAACGGATGGAGCTCCGATTTGGCCACTGTTGCTGGGGCCAGAGCACTCGTTGACTGCTGGAGGCCCTGCAACTGATGATTGGTTAGAATTTAAGACTACTTGTTCCCCAAAATGAATAATAACCATCGAGAGCCTCAAAGATAAATGATATTATAATGCAAAATACGTACTATTGTTTTAATTAGTTTAATTCATGTTGTTCCAAATAAAAAGTCCTGTACGAGTATGTAGAAATGATGACTGGTATTCTGAATAAAAATAATAATTTAAGTAATTTTTGCTCAAAATTTTTTTTGCATTTGTATATAATAATTTAAGTATTTTTTTGTAAATAATAATAACCTGGGTCTATAAAAATAAATAAGTTTAATGTAAATGACATCTTGACTGGATATGAGTAAATATCAACTTAATTATAAATAAATAATAACTTTTTCAGTAAATAACAACTTAATTTTTTGTAAATCATAATTAGGGTTTATGAAATAATGACTTAGTTATATATTAATTTCAACTTGGATTTGTGGAAATAATAATTTAATTTAATGTAAATGCTAACTTGATTTGAGGTAAGGAAATAATAATTTGGGTTTATGAAGAAGTTTGTGCATTTGTAAGTAATAACTTAGTTATGCGCTGATTACTTAATTTCAACTTGGGCTGTTCATGTTGTCCACAAATGCAGGACGGGACAATGGACGATAGGGGTGTTCATGAGATGAGACAGGACAGGGACGACCCTGTCCCAGTCCTACGATAGGGGTGTTCATGAGATGAGACAGGACAGGGACGACCCCGTCCCAATCCTATCTCGATAATTGGGACGGGGCGGCTTTTCTGTCCTATGTCCTATCCCGTCCCAATAGCGTCTCGTCCCAATTGTGACGGGACAAAAACGTCTCATCTCTCTCTCTCTCTCTCTAATTTTTTTGAATTTTTTAATTTGAAAACTAATTATACAGGAAATATAAAAACTATGTGAGGAAAATAGATAAAAATAAGGAAACAATGACAAAAAAAACGTTTTTTGTAATCATCAGAGACAAAAAATAAATAAACCTAAAATATTCACTATAAAGAATGTCATGTAACTTATACAAAAATAACTTATAAAAAATAAAAAATAACAATTGATAAATATTATTACCAAAATACTATTACAGTAATAAATAAAATAAATTTATAACAACTAAAAATAAAGATAATATATTGGGACGGGCCCGAGATCCGGATTGGGACTAGGACAGGACACCCTGTCCTGCGTACCTTCCCGAAAAAATTTTGTCCCGTCTCATCGTCTTGTCCCACTTTCGTCTCATACCAAAATGATTAGGACAGGGATGAGATGCTGGGATAGGACATAATTGAACACCCCTAATAGACGAGACGTAGAATGGGATATTCATATATGTGTGTGTATATATTAATTTTTGTTATAGATATTTTTCTTTATGTATTTTAACAATACGACAAACATATATACTCCTCTAGTCTTTAATATAGAACCTAATTATTAAGTTGATTTTAGTCCTAAATATAAGACTCATTTTTCATATTTATCAATTTTTTCTAAACTACCCCTATTGATTTTCCTCAACTATAATCAAGTAGAAAAAAGAGGGATGATATTAAGGAAAATGATTATAATATTTTAGGAAAAACATGTCATATTTTTTTATAACTAACTAACTTTCTTAATCTACTCAAATTAGTTAAATATGTCTTATATTAAGGATCGGGAGAGTATTAAGTTTAAAGAAGTAAATAGATGTCACATATTTGAATACGTTTTTTACTTTGATTTTTATAAAAGAAGAAAAAATGTTTTTAAAAATGTAAATTAAACAAGCTTTAATTAATATGATATGATCATGTATTTTTATAAACATTTGCTTAGAGTTAATTGGAATCAACAATAATAGCCTCCACATGTAACATTCATTTTGAGAAATTTTGAAATATGAAAAAGAAAAAGAAGAACAAGTTTAAGTAATCAATCTCTACTAGTTAAAATTTAAAAAAATAGCATGACTATTTTTCTAGTTAAATCAAATATTTACTACTAGGTCTCCACAATGGATAGACTGGATTAGATCAGAGCCTAACTTGAAGTTTGGTCTGATTTTTAATTGGCTTAGCTTTTGTAGTCTGTGGTTTGATTCAATACAACAGGAGCTCGATGTCAGGTTAGACTGGATTTAATCACTAGACTGGTGGACTAGTCCAAACAGTCCATGACCCCAATTTTCCAATTTTCAAATTTTTTTTATCAGAAGTATAATCTCAACATGATAAATTTAACTAAGACAACAGAAAATAGCTATAATCATATACAAATCATCCTAAAATATTAAAACTTAATCATAAATAAGAATCTCTAACAACATTAAAAACAATTAGAGGTAAGATTTAAATTACAAAATATTAGAAATAAAAAAATTCACTTGGACTAGACTAGACCAATCCAAGTAGTCTGATTACTTGGTTTGGAATTCAGTCCATCCCAACTCATTAGTCTAGTTTGGTCTAGTTCGATTTCATTATATAGCTTATTTGGATTCGACTGAACTAGATCAAACTCTTCGGGTTCAACTGGACTGGATCAGAACATCGGGTTTTTCCACGTCCCTATTTACTACTATTACATAATTACATGTCATTTGGATGCTTAAAACTATATTTAGAAGGAAATATCACTTTGATTAATTATTTTTGGTATGTGAAAAATTAAAATAAAAAAATGGTACAATTTTTTTTACTGAAAATTAAAAAAAATTTCACAGAATATTTCAGTCCCATTCGTTTTGACTGGGGTGTTTGGCAGTCCTTGTTAGTACTTTTCAAAAGTATTTTCACACAAATTAAAAATAATTTCTATCAAATATTTACTTTGCATATCATAAAATTATTTTTAAAATTATGATTGGAGTTTTGTTCAAATATGTTTGAGAACTAGGAGTGCTTCTCGATGTGATAGGACACGGAAACACCTCTACTTTTTTTTTTTTTAAAATGATAACTGAGAGACAAATAATAAGATAAGATATTAGTCCAAGCTAACCAAGCCTATTGTCCATCATCACTTTCCACCTCCAAACATAACAGGAAGGGTGATCAAAGACACAAAAATTACTGCTCATCTTATGAGATATCTTTGCTAAAAGATCTACTAAGGGAATCCTCTCCTTATCTATATGATAAAAAAAAAAATGCCAATCCCCATGCATAGCTATTCTCACATCATTTACCAAGTCTTTCAAAGGGTAATTATCATCACATCCCTTAGTCGCCAGATTAATTGCCTCAATACAGTCCGAAAACAAACAGATATTTCTGAAATCTTTAGCCCAGCATAGATTTAGGGCCTGTTTGGATAACATAGAAAACCATGGTTTTAGGACCCAAACCAGACTTGCCAAACACTCAGGAAAAAACAGAAACCATGGTTTTGAGTCAAAATCATGGTTTGGAGCTCAAAACCATGGTTTCAAAAAAAGTGAATCCATTCTTCTTCTGGCTCAAATGAGAGAGTATAATTGTGCATGTAGAGTAGATCTCAACGATAATATGATTTTAACATTCCTCAATTATTTTTTTATAAACATATTTAATCTTATATTTATAAATATACATACATATTAATTATATTATTTTATATATTATTAATTATGTTGGTAAAAAATATATTATTAACAATTTTTATTTTTTCAAATTAAAATATATTATAAAATCTATCTTTTATGTAATTATCATATTAACTTATGCGTTTTTTTAGCAAAATTTGTACATATAAAAAGTTCTTCTGATAACAACTATCCAAACACTTTCATTTATCAGAATCACTTTTTCACAAAATCTATTCTTCACAAAATCTATTTTTTTCAGAATCTATTCTCCAAACTATAGTTTGGTTTCATCCAAACACTCTCTTAGTCCATGTAGGAAACCCATGAGCTCTGCAATAGTTAGGGGTACATTCGTCAGTATTACGCTGAAACTATTGATCCATCGATCCTAATGGTCTCGAATAACTCCTCCGCACCTATTGTTACCTTCTCTCAACACGGAACTATCGATTTCTAACCTGGTGTACGTTTCCTCAACTCGACAAGCCTCTTCCCGCCATTCGGCCGTAACCCTATAAACATTGCAGGTGTTAGATAGGTCTTGATCTACGGCCACCTTGAAGAAGCTGTCCCTTCCGTCCCTTCGTCCTGCTGGCTCCTGTTCATTGAACACTCTGCTACAGCGTGATGTCCATATATCCTAGCATATATATCCAAAGAGAATCTTCCATGGTACTTTCTTAGTGTAAGAGCGACCAACCTTATGGGTAAGTTTCCATTTAACCCACTTTGTACCTGAAAAAGAGAAAAATTTGTTCCAATAAGTAGAGGACACAACAGATTTCCATCGATCAATGGCGTCTGAACAATCCCGAATGAGATGCATTTGATCTTCTGCTAGTGGGCATCCCAACGGGCATAAGGAAGATTTTGAAATCCCTCTTTGCATCCTTAAGAGAGTTGTATGGATCTGTCCATGACAAAAAAGCCACATGAATGTTTTGATCTTCTCTGAAAAGGGCCATCTCCAAAGTTGCTTCCAAAAGCTGTCTTTGCTTACCTAAAAATAAAAAACAAATTTCACAGAAAAGTTACCATCACAGTTTCCAGTAGTTGGTGCGTATGCACAAAGTAATCGTTCAATCACATTTTGGGGAAACCACCCTTGCATCTTATTGATATCCTAGTCGCCGTTCGGATCCACATAGTCATACGCCCTTTCATTCCCATCAATGTACTCCTCATATTCTGGCACAATCTTTATAAGTGGTCTATTTAGCTCTGACCAATTATTATACCAAAAGGAAGTAGAGATACCATTGCCTATCTTCTTTCCCACACCTTTCTTGAACTTCTCCTAGACATCACATATACCTCTCCACATGAGGGAAGACTGTTTCTTCTTATTTACTATCGGCATAGCCAGGTCACCACACCCATATTTACTTCTGAGCACTTTGACCCATAGCGCCTCCTTTTTGGTTAGGATACCCTAACAAAGGTTCATAACAAAAACTCATTCTGCTTCCTTAAATTCTGGATCCCAATCCTCCTTGCTTTTTATCTTTTGTCACTTGTTCCCAAGAATGGAGATGAAGTTTTCTAACGTCATCTTGTTGCCCCCAAAGGAAACCCCCACTCTTCTTTTCAATATCAGATGAGTTTCTTTGGCAGTAAAATTGTTTACATATAATAAGAAGGGAGAGTTGAGAGGACTGCCTTTATCAAAGTAGCCTGTCCTGCCATGTTGAGACAATTTTTCTTCCAACCTGATAGTCTCTTTTGCGTTTTTTCAAGGACCAGGGTGAACATTGCACAGGAGATCCTTTTTTGAATGAGAGGAATCTCCAAATATTTGCCCAAATCCGCTGTGAGTCCCACACCCATTTCCCTGTTTAGTTCCAACTGTGTACATTCTTAGAGAAACATATCTTTATCCTGTTACAATTCATTTTTTGACCCGAAGCTTCTCCTCAATGGTCACCTGTACTTTCTGTTACCACCACTTGCCAAAGCAGCAAAGCGCTCACCCGCAGCAAATGGCAGTGGAAGGGTTATATATTTTTTTAAAATAAAAACTAGGTTGGCACCTTTTTTTTTTTTTGGTGTTTATGTTTATTTCTCGGGACTTTAAAAGTTATTTTATCTAGACAATTCGTACTATTTTTTTTTTCAACTCTGATCACAATCCTGTTATTTTCGCCTAGATATTTTCTTCTCTCTCTACTACGTGGCCATTTTTATAGTACGCTAACTGCTTCTGTTTTTCTTCGATCGTTCACCCAAGGATGAACGATTCTCTTCGTCAAAGCTCTCATTCTCTTCTCCGACTGATGCCCGTCGTGCTCCGTTCCTCTTCTTTGCGTTTGCGGCCGCTGCTACAATAGTTCGCCGCCTGCGACTCAACATGCTGGGCTTCTCGTGCACTGATTCGCTTGCATATGATGAAAAATGGAGTGGAGAAACATTGAGATCGATCTGGCTTATTGATACTCATTAGGTAGTCCTCAAGTCTCTTTTCCTGTTACTATATACTCAATGGTGGTGAAAGCGCGCCTTGTCTTTTTTCCCCTTAAAATGCGTCTTGTGCGAAACTAGTTGAGAAATCATGGTATTAGAAAAGCGAGTTGTTTTTTCAATTTCTGCCCTACGAAAGTGTCTCGTCTTTGTCTTTTAAGGATAATATTTATTGTCAGGCGAAAGAAGTTAGGCACGATTTGCTGGAAATTTTTCTTCCGTGGTGCAGCTTGATAAAATGTTATGTTGATTTGTTATATGTTTGAACTGTTATTAGTTGCTTTCTAGCGGCAAGAGAATTATATAAGTTGATGTTAATACGAAATTATTGGATTTAGCAGTTTTAGTTTTGATAGAGTTACAAAAGCGGAAGCAGTTTGATGTCACCGGTTAGAGTATCAAGTATTCTATAGTTTTCTTTTTGATTTGAGGACATGAATTTTATTAGTTAGAGAATTGGGTATTGAGTAGTCTTCGTATTCATGCTTGCAATTTCTGAGAGCTGTGGCCAAGAATCTTCGTTTGTCTTTAGATCTATGTGTTATTCAATTTTATCTGAATGCTAACTTTTAATTATGTTAGTCTGGACATCGCAGATAGTTCGTAATAACTTGAGGCAAAAAAGTTCCAACAGCTTAAAAAGGGAGCCATGACTATATCTGGCACATGTTGAAAATTCGTTTAGAATTAGACATAACACTGTGCAACACTTTAAATTATATGGAGACTTCAGTTTTTGCCATGTCACTGTATTTGTGTTAGTGTCATGTCTTGGGTCTTGTCTCCGTGTTAGTATTTATGCTTCCTAGGTATTGGTCCAAAAATCTATGCTTCCTTGGTCAAAAAAGGTATGCATTAGAATGTCAGTTGGAAAATTTCTTTCCCCATAATGAGAAAATATAGCTTGTACAGTGAGAGAAATAAGATGTGATGCATCGGTCTGATGGATATTTTTAGGTCATTTGCAGTTGAGACATTCATATTTTTGAGGAAACATGTGCTCTTGCGCAGCAAGTCAGTGTTAATAAATATTTGCTCTGCTGATTTTTTATTATTTTAAAAAGGGGAAATAATTAAAGATTTGGTTCTTATGTTTTGCTAATGATGTAGTTCATAGTCAAAATGTAACATCTTCTCTTCATCAAAAAAAAAATGTAACATCTTCATGCTTCTTGGATCCTAATATCATGTAACATTTGCTATTAGTAAAGCTTTTATGCATTTCAGTTAGAGCAGTGGTGAAAGATCCTCTTCCTTTGAGGTTGGAGAACAATAGTTTTGATGTTAAGTGCTAACCATATCCTGGGGAGCAAGCTGCTGTTCATGACTGTGTGGGTAGATTTGCTTTCTCTAGGTTACTAGGTTGTTATTGCAACACTTTGCCAGTGGTATTGTGTTAGTTTCCAGATTGTCTCACGCTAAAATGTTTTAGATCAAACGATGAGAAAAAAACTAACGCTAATTTGAGCTAGTCAGTGATTTTTTTTTCCTTTACAGTTTATATTTCTTCATTGAAAATGTTGCCAGAACTTTTATACGTAGTCAAATGGAGTATCTATGCAGTGTTGTAGATCATAGATAACATGTTTATGTTATAATGTCAAAGTGCACAGCAGATAATGTTGTGGGCAAATTTCTCTTATTTTCTCATATTCTTTGTACATGCTGGTGCGACGTCTGGCTTGTGGTCTGAAGATATGTATGATTAAAAAAATACCTCCTACCGTCAAATTCTCTATTTCAAGTGTGGAACCTACATTTCTCACGTGTGTAGGAAAGAATTTGCAAAATGAAAAGAGGGATGATGTGCTTTGCTATATTTTGCTTCAGTTCTGTGTTATATTATGATTTCTACACACATGCAAACATGATTAAGCATCCTCCTTTTCATTTAAAAAAAAAAAATTATTGGGCTGAAAAGAATTCACCACATTAAGCAAGTAGAATGACGTTACCAATGTATCTTAGGACTTTGTCTCCCAACCTTCCAATTAACATATTAAGGCTTGAATTTCATTCCTGACCAAAAAAAATTTAAAAACACTGCAAAACTAGCTTGTGAAGCGGTACAATATAATATGACTGATGATGCATTTTAGGTGATTCAATTTTCTAGTATGGGTGTTACCAACACAAACCTGGGCATTTATGCATGGCCTATTCATGGTGACCATAACAAATTGTCTAGTTCCATTAAAAACTAACTGGATCTCTGGGCTTGAAAAAGTCAGGAAAAATGATGCTGTCTTTGTGGTTTTTCTTGCTAAGTAGGTTTCTTTGTACTTTTGTATTTTCTTCCCTCCACGTCCTTTTTTGTTTTGGACATATACTTGTTTGTTTTTGGGTAGTTTCTATATACATATAAATATATATATTGCTTTTGGTCTTGGCATCAATTAGTTCTTGTAGTCCAAGCGAATTTATCCTGTGCATGTGCTGTGTTTTGGTTAGGAGCACTGATGAATTGTAGTCTTGTAAACATTGAAGTGTTCATATTCGACTAAATATTGATAGTTTATTTAATCATATTGGCTGCTTAAATTCACATAGAAATTAATTATCTGTCTATTTATTGATTTTATAAATTGATCAGCAATTAATTCTTTTTTTCATCACCCTTTAATTCAAATCCAGAAGAGGTTTTCGTTGTTTGAAAGTATGGCCACAGCTGTGCTGCACAATCAGAAACACCCGAGGGTTACAAATGTTTGTCACAATTTCTCAATCATAATGGTACGCAATTTTATTCAGAGCCACTATATTTGTGGGAGAAAGGGAGATTATCAAACTAATATCTGCCATCCTCATGCATCATCATCATCTCATTGAACAGTTATAGCATGAATTAGGATATTATTAGGACAGCGTTAAAGATGTTATACACAGTAGGTGATATATGGGATAAACTATTGTTTCTTGATATGTTTTAGGATATATCAATTTAATATCAAAACTATGCTTTTCATGTGATGTTTATTATCTCTAGTTCTTTGTCAGCATGCGTTATAATTCGTGCTCCCAAAGTTTCGTACATGTATGAAAGAATCTAATACCATTGATCTCAATTTTCCAACCATACATTTAGCATGTGTAGAATTCTGAGAAGAGTCTGATCTTGTTTTTGTTATTTCATAGAAATGGGCTACGTCAATCATGCTGTTATTTCAATACCTAATCAAGCACACTGAAACTCAGTACATCATGAAGCCAGTGGAAATATGGAAGAATAAAAAACTAACAAAAATTAGTTGACGAACACGAGGAAGGAAAGAAAATAAAAAAAAAAAGGCATGGGTTTAGGATATGCACAGCGTGAAACGTTCAACACTAGGTCAGCCACTTGAAACTGAGGGGAGTAGATTTGAGGTGGTACACTCTAGAACGAAGCTTCTCCTCTCAATATGCACCTTGGTGGATTTGTTCACCTTGGTTGGAAAGATGAAGGAGTTTCTCAAGTAGCCTTTAATATTTCGCAATATCTGCAGGAGGACTTTCTTCCTTTAACCCCAAGCATTTATGTTTCCTCCCAACTATCACATGTTTATTTCCTTTGCCAAACAATACTTTTGTTTTAGTCGCTCCTATTCTTAAGATTTATCTTAGGTCATCAAGTATATCTCTTTAATCTTTAGTTAGAAGTTTTTTTGACCTCCTAATTTCTTCTTTAAAATAACCTATAACTATAAGTTAGTAAATGTTTAAACCACTTGGCTCTAGTAACATTTTTAAATTTTGAAGAATCCCAACACATTACTATGGACGAGAGAGAAAGCTTAGGAAGAAGAGTTATTGCGAGCAAGGTAAGAAGGTTTAGCTTGATTAAAAGAATGGCACGTTTCACAATAAAGAGGAGAAATTTTATTGAATAAAGTTGGGCGCGTCTTTCTTATATATTCTAAGTTGGTTGATCTTCCCTATAATTTATGACAGAATCACTGAGATGATCCTAATAAATAAACTTGTTTTTCTAAACTTGTCATCTAATTGAATGAGATACAAGCCCTTAGAATTTATGGCATTACCAATAGCCTTCCTTGACCTCTAGTCTTGAAATTTAAGGCGATAAAAAAGAAGTGAAATCAATGGTTTCTTTGGATTAACAGAGGGGAGGGGAGGGATTTTAATGATCCCTTCTTTGTTTTAACTAGAGGAGATGGGGGAATTTTAATGATTTTTTTGTTGTTGGGGAGGGGAGGCAAGAATAATTTAACTATAATACCTTTGTGATAGTTTATTTACTTTTTTAGGAAAGAAGTTATAGTTCATCATTTCTTGTAATTATGCTTTTTGGCAGATGAAAAAAAAATGAATCTTAGTTTTCTTTCTTGTACCATGCGTGCTATCTTTTTTTTCCGTTTTTTTAAATGTGGACTTTTTAAAAGCATTTATATTACAACTTATCATTGTTTTTTGTTTTGCTTATTCATAAAAAATAATCATTCATCAGTACTAATTACAAATGAATGAGGTGTAAGTATTCTTTCTTGCCTCCTAAATGTCTTTGGCCGTGGGTCTAACCCAAAAAAAAAAAACAAAAAAAAAGGAAAAAAAAAGAAAAAAGAAAAGAAAAGACACCTTTCCAGTGCTCCATCATAATGAAGTTGAGCAACCATGACGTTAGCATATATATGACCACCCAAAGCTTATACTATGGGTCTGCAATGCTGGTGAAGGTAGTTTTTTAAAACTCAGATAATCATCTTGGTCTCATTCTTGTGTGAAGTTGTGAGCATCATGGCACTTGAGGTCCATAAGAGATTATTATTATCATACAAGTGATGAATAATGACAAACTCCAAGAAAAATAAAAATAGGCCATGATAATCAGCTTGTAATCCTAAGATTATGGGCAATAAAATTAATAAATTTCAAAAGACGTGATAAAAGCTGTGGATATCAATGAGAATAGAAAACCAAACAAGATATTCGACTGAGAAGCACAAATGAGGAAGGAAAATAATGGAGACAAATGTAGTGTTAGATGCCTAAACTCCACATGGAGCAGTGTGAGATGCTCTATGAGGTATTTAAGCTGCTCGTTTTTTTCTATTCCCCATCTCGCTTGAGTACTCATCAATTAGCATTAGAGCTTGTTTGTTGAAGGTTCCAAAAAGGGCTGCCTATGGAGGGTTTTGACCAGCAAGTAAGTTGAACTGGAAGTGCTGTAGGATGTATTTGTTGGGACGACAACACTCTAAGGGGGCCAATTGATTGAAACTAAGGTAGTATGTGATGCCTATGCTTCACAAGGGGCAGCATGAGATGTTCTATGGAGCAATATGAGATTCCCCGTCCCACTTGAGTGCCTGGTAGAAAATGATTAGAAAATCACAGGTTCTTGATGAATAGCATATCATATGATCTCCAATTGGGTGTAATAGGTTGGTCACTCTTGAGTGCAAAGTGTTCGTTTGTTATGCAAAATATATGGCATAAATTTATAAGTCCTTGAGAGCTAGTTTGGTGATATAATCATTTGCTCACTTGTCAAGAATGGAAGAGATATAGCTATGCACCCTTCCAAAAGTGCAAAGGCCTAACCCTATTCAGCACGTAAATTAGCATTGTTTTTTAAAAGTTGGACCTACAGAGCTTTTGAAGCCTAGTCTAGAATCTACACTGCCAGTCCAATTTCACAGGAATTTGACGTTGTAGTGAGCTGAGAAATAATCAATATAGAAAAGGGGCAATCATCTGGAAAGAAGATGATGTTGTTCTTTGTGTTCTGACCAAATAGAAGCTATGATGGAAAAAAAAACGTATTGGGGACTTTATTTGACTTAAATAACTGCGAAATTGTCAGGATTCTTAAGTAGCGTGTTAAGGAATTAGGGGTTTATAATTGGAGCACAAGGCAAGGATTTTTAACGGTTCTTTCAGCTATTTGGTTTTCTCTGGGACAGTGTTTTGTACGGCATTGTGTTCCAGACTCATGGCTCTTTTGGAGAGCTTCCAACCATTCTGTTTCAAGTGTATGAGTTTCTTTCTTGCATGGATGTATTATTTCCTTTCTTTCTGGTTCATTTTGCTTCCTTTCGCAGCTCTAGAATAATTTATTTTCTAGCACTGCGTTGTTTACTTTCTAATATTTTATCCAAAAAGAATTTTTTTAAATAACTTCTATGCATATTTGACATCCAACCAAAGAAACCATTCTAACCTAAGATTCACCATAGTTTTGCGATGTGGTCTGAACTAAAGGTGGTTGGCTGGTGGGGGGATGGGGCAGTTTCTTAATGGGACTTTGAAACATCAACGTTTTCAGCGGTGAACAATTCAGCTGAGCAATTGATTTCTCAGCTTCAAGTTTCATTCGTACCCATGTAGCCTATTTACTGAGATCTAGGGTTTTGTTACAATAAAAAAAAATCTGGAATTTAAATTGTAATTATCAGATCTCATCAAATCTGATTCTAATCTCCTAAATTAAATAAAAGATAATGAGAAAATATATGAAATATCAACTAATAAACCAGACTAATTGAAACCCATCTTAAATGGGGCTTGGGCAATGGGCGCCTTGAGGCAAGTGGAGAGAAAAAGCCTACATAGGACTATTATTGAAATCAGTGCCTTATCTTAGCTCATGAGCGTAAAATTAATATAAGTCCGGGCCCAATCAAAAGAAGTCCAGATTTGTTGGGTCCAGTTCTGTGTATCTATGTCATGCCTCCATTGCTTTACAAAAGGAGCATTATGGTGCTGAATTATACTTAACAGCATCCAACTAGGCTAATGTTGCTAATAAATTAAGTATTTAGAAATCAGTGCACGGGTTTACTTGTTGCTACCAATAATTAGGGGGTTTTCCTTGTCAACTAACCGGCGCTGAGAAACAAATCAAATTTCTTCTGCAATTAAATGTCAGAACGGAATATTTAGCATGTTGTGTTTATATTTGGTATCATGTGATCCATGTCGTCAGCCTTATTTAGTCAGATAAGGTTTTTTGTTGTTGTTTGCTCCTTCCCTCCCCATATGAGCTTACTATTTTTTTCCTTACTCTCTTTTAAAAATCATGGTGATAAATTATAGAGCAGCACAAAATGTTAGAGGCTTGAAACTTACAGTTTTGTAGCGCATCTAAGTGCATTTTTTAATATTCCACATCCTTTTTTTTTTTTGCCAACGTAATATTTCACATTATAAATATGATAGAGAATGAAATATTACCAAATAATAATATTTCACATTCTAAAGTGCATTTTGCAATGACAACGAGATTGCTGCAGATATAAATGTTTATAAAAATTATCTTGACAACGTTTGAGTTACTTATATACTGAGTTTCCTTTGATAAAATCATCTTACACGGTTGAGTTTCCGAGTTGCTGCCAGAAATTGGCTTTTAACAATCAGGTAACTCATATCTTGAGTTTCCTTTGATAAAATCATCTTTCACAGTTGATTTTCCGAGTGGCTGCCAGAAATTGGCTTTTAACAACAATTGAGTAACTCATATCCTGAGTTTCCTTTGATAAAATCATCTTACACAGTCTGCATGTGACTACACTGACATGGTTGCTGCTTTATAGCCATCTGGCCTTGATGGATCATACGATTAGATTCTGACAGCCCTCTAGATGTCTGCTTTGCCTGTCTGACTTGTATAGATATGTGATTTCTGATTTCTCATGGAAACCTCATTATTTTGATGTCCAAATATTTATCAAACTATGAGTGCTGAGTATTTCTTGCCATAGCTTTTTATATTTTTTTTCTCATTATAAATGAATACATCATTTTATGAAGTTCAGAAAAGTCTTTGGAATGTCGTGTCCTCTTTGTCTAGCCCAATTCACTGCCTCTTTGGCACGATACAAGGATAACCACTATAAGGAGGGGCGCAAGCCCATTGGATGCTTGACTTTTTGATCAACACTTGATATTTGGATCTAGTTAATTGGCATATCTTAATATCTTAAATGTATAGAAATCTTTGGGACATTACACCTTTGTGGAACTAAACTTGCATGCTTGTAGAATGCCAAAATTTTTACTTGGCAGAGTTGAATCAGTTGCTAGCTGTCGTGGCTGAAAGCAGTCTTTGAAGACTGTGGTGGTATAGCATCTCATTCATCTGAATATAGATGAGAGAAGAAAAAATATCTCTTCATTTAACAAAAACACGTGGCTTACGGACTGTCATCCACCCCCAAAGCTCATCTTCTTAGAAGATGTGATTTGTTTTATTGTCACTTGTGGTGCTTAAACATCGGTATATACGATGCGTACATATTGCAGTTTCTTTTGTGATTGGTGAGCATTTTCATATTATGTTATGGTTGACAGACAACTTGGTAATCCTACATGCTGTAGTTAGGTAAATATATTTGGAGTTGTTTGCTCACAAGACAAAGTTTCTCCTATGACATGGTAGATGCCTTCTGTTTTTGCGTCAGGTCTTGTGTTTTTATGTGCTAAGCTTGCTTGAGTTTCTATGTGGCTGAAATTTACTTTATGCTCAAATTTAGGCTCAATAATTTCAGCATTGTGGCACTAGATTTTTATTTTCAGATACCTTACCAGCAGCTGCTTGAATAGTTACGTGAAGAATTCTGAACTCAAATGAACTAATATTTTCTTAAGAGCATTTTCTGGAATTGAAATTAATATATATATTTTATTACATTTTTTTCTTAGTTCATTTTGACTGCACATGTGATAAGAAAGGATTTAAATAATAAATAAAATGTGTTGAAAATAGTGAATAATTTAGTCATTATTTATTTTTTTCGCAATTTATATTATGTCATTATTCTGTAGTTGTCATCTTCCTTTCTTTAAGGAATATCTATTAATAAAAAAGGTAGTTTGGATTTACCTAGATTTTATTTTTGTATAGAGGGATTTGATCAATCTGCTATGATATACTGTTCTAGTAAAAGGTACTAAGCATTTTCTATCAATAGTAGATGTTGAAATAAAATGTGAATCTCCTATCATTGCACAAGTTATTTAAGCCATGTTAACTATACGTTGGCTATGATTGAGTTCGGAATCTACAACAATGAACAAGGAATAATCAAACCAAACATTTGTCTCTTCCCATGATGGCATGATACTGAATGTAGCCCCATTATCCGTCACAAGTCTGAGGATTATCAACTATGACAAGGAGTGGTACCTATAGGGGAGGCTACTAAACCTGTTGTAATGGTACACTTGATGTGAAAAGACATCAAATTCTGGAATTATCAATTTTGTGGGAGTGGCTGCTGTGTGGCTGTGCATCCACCCTCAGTGAGGGTGGGTTTTTGTCCGCACTTAAGTGAGAATTGTGCACGCGTGAGTGCCGATAAATGGGATATTCAATCACTTGGGTACCACCTGCGTTGTTTTTCCATTTGATGTTGAGCCCAAAAAAATAATTTGAATGGACCTGATCATATGGCTGGTGATGTTTCTATACTTAGAAAGTTTGTTCCTAATTTTTAAAAGTTGCGTGTCCCTGTTGCTGATGGCTCTAATGCTTGAACGTGTGCCCTTTTACAGCAAGACACCAATTGAGAGGGAGACATCTAATACCAGAAATCCTAACGAATGGCTGTCTTGGAACCTTAACCCTCTGCAACCCTTACCTTTGCTACCTACACCTAATATGCAGAAACACATGACAACACCCAATCAATAAATCTGTTGCTTGTGGCAGGCTTTCTCCTAAGTTGTTGGCGTTTGTGCACAATGTAGAGGAGGAACTTCAAACAAATGTTTAGAAAGCTGCAAAGAAGCAGGAATGGAGCGAGGCAATTCAAGAAAAGTTAAGGGTCGTTCGGAAGAATCAAATATGGGAGTTGTTGATCTTCCATCTGGAAAGACTACAAAAGGGCTTGAATCGGTATTCATGGGAAAAAAAAAAAAAAAATTCTTGGTGGAAGTATCAATTGTCATAAACCAAGGTTGGTGGCTAAGGGTTTCAGACAAACCCATAGCATCATAGACTGTGAGCTTCTGTGGTGAGGTTTAACACCATCAAACTTCTACTCTCTATGTTATCTGGCTTCGAGTAGCTATTACAACAACTAGTTGTTAATAACACTTAATGGCAATCTCAAGGAAGATTTTTACATGAAAATCCCACTGGGCTTGGAGGTTGAAGTATATGGCAATAAGTTATGCAAACTTAAGAAGTGTATATATGTACTCAAACACTCCTAGGATGTGTTTTTTTATAAATGTTGTCAAGATGATCATACTCTATTTGTCATATGTGGTTCAAATGAAAAACTAGCCATTCTAGTTGTATTTGTAGATGACACATGAGACAAGTAATGAGATTGGCAAACTGATACGAAATCTTGGAGCAGAGTTACACATTAAAAGCCTTGGCCAAATGAGGTATTTTCTGGGGATGGGGCATCGTACAAAATAAAGATGACGCATCTTGGAGAAAGCACATCATACATCTCCTTAAAGAGATTGAGGTCGTGTAAACTAGTTGACACATTAGAATAGGTCAGACTCCAGAAGGAAAGCCGATTGGTATGCATCAAGGGCTTGCAGGACGTCTAATTCATGACTAATAGAAGATCCAGTACTTGGTACTTGACAGTTGGGGGAGAAATTTAGTGCCATGGAGAAGCCAAAAAAAGAAGATAGAAAACACCATTGATGTAGAATTGTGACCATTAGCACTTTGCAATTGCATATGTGAAGGAATACGGATGATGAGACTTCTCTAGGAATGGAGGCTAGTTGTGGAACTGCCACTGGTAGTGTTATGTATGTGACAGGGCCATCATCAGAATAACCAAAAATCTTGTACATCAGGTTATAACAAGGCATGTGGAAATAGGTTGCCCTTTTATTGAGGAGAAGATCAACTCTGGTTTAATTGTATGTTGCTACCAGTGCCCAAGTTGCTGATCTGTGAGGACTAACACATTGCTCATGTAAGTTTGAAGAATTGAGATAACAAGCAAGGAATGATAAACACATACTCTCCAGCC